GAAACTTTTGTCGGGCAGGTTCAGGACTCGTGGAGCACGCGCGGAGGCAGCTTTGCCTTTCGTATGTTGCGTGAACAGGCTCACCCGCCGGTCATGGAGATGAGGGTGCGTACACCCGTGCATTTGGCCCCGCAGAGGTGGTTGCCGGATGGAAAACAATGGATACAGGTGCAGGACGTGTCTGGTTTCAGGACCGGAGACCATCTCGAAGGTACCTTGGAGTGTACTATCTTGGAAGTGCAGGGCAATTCCCTTCGGCTTGATACGAGGCTTTCACGAAGAGAAGCTGCAGGCTTGGAAAAAGTGGAGATCTCGCTTGACCCGCAGGTTTGGTCACGCTCATTTTTTCAAGGGTGGAGTGCATTCTGGCAGCGCGAGTGTGAAGCCCTGGATGACTTGCCTTGGAGGCCTCTCTTGCAGTCTATACCCCCGGTTGATGGGCAACCCTTGGAGGCTATTGGCTTTCATGACTGGAAAGCGGCACTTGGAAAGGCCAAGTCGTCTTCTATGAGTACCTGCGGTTGGTCGGTGGGGGAACTCAAAAAATTGCCCGAAAGTGTTGTCCTGCCGCTTCTTAGGCTTTTTACTCGGATTGAGCAAGGTGTCGCGTGGCCAAAACAATTGCAGCAGTGGTTGGTGGTCTTGTTGCGCAAAGAGGACGGGATCCCAGAATGGAACTCTGTGCGTCCGATTTCGGTCGCGTCAGTTGTGTACAGGGTGTGGTCTCGTATCCGGACCAAACAGCTCTTGGCCTTGTGTCAACTTACTTCCCTGCCTACGGTTGGTCCCAGGTTGTCTACTAGGTCCTTGTGGGGGTATGTAGCAGACTATGTTGCCGAGGAAATGCATGCTGGAAAGGCCCCTTCTGGATTGGTCTTGGACATCGTTAAGGCTTTCAACGTCCTGTGTCGGCCCATGGTTGGAGATGTTATGAAACACTGCGGTATTGATGGCGCCCTCGTGGACGCATGGTTGCGGGCCTTGGACGGTATGGAGAGGTACGTTCTGGTGGCGGGTACGGTGTACCGCGCTGATCCTTGCCTTCGGGTCTCTTCTACAGGTGTGCCGGAGGGTGACCCGCTTTCGGTCGTTGCCATGTACTGTATGTGCCGCTTCTTTGCACTTTGGATTCAGGCCAAGGCTAATGTCATGCCCTTGACATATGCAGACAACTGGCAGGTTTTGGCAAACGAAACAAGTCCGGTTCTTGAGGCTTTGCCCCATGTCGCGCACTTTTTGACTTGCTGCGCTTTGCCTGTTTCCCCGCACAAGTGCTGGCTTTGGAGTGCCTCTGGAGAAGGCCGTAAGCGGTTGAAAGCGGCCACCCTTGGTGAAGATCGGATTCCAGTGAAGCTGCAGTCGGTCGATCTGGGGGCGGACTTGCCATATTGCAGGCGGCGTGCTGCTGCCAAAAGGAACCAGCGCGTCTCGCTGGGTCATAAGCGTCTGCTGCGTGCAAAGGGGGTTCCGTGCTCTAGGTGGCACAAAACACGGCTGGTCCTTTCAGGTGTTTGGCCGCAGTGCCTGCATGGGGCTGAGACGTGTCAGGTTCCCTTATCTGTTCTCAAGAGATTGCGTACTCAGGCAGGTCGTGCGGTCTCTCTTGCCAAGCCGGGAGTCAGTCCTTGGCTTGCCTGTTCGGTCGGTGCTCACCAAACTGTTGATCCGGCATATTGCCTTCTCATACAGAGGATCCGGCTGTTTCGGCTCATGTGGCGCGATTTTCCACAGGGTCGTGCAAGCATGAGGCGAGGATTAATCTCCTTGAGGGGAGGCACTGGCGGGGTTTCTTACCTCTTGGCCAAACAGCTTCGGGGCTTTGGCTGGTTAACGGTCGGCTTGGAAGCTCGAGATGACCATGGGAGGGTTATCAATCTTGTTGAGACGCCCTTGAAGGCGGTTCGGAGAGTTCTTGAGTCCTCCTGGATGGATCAGGTTGCGGCAAATCTGTGTCACCGTAAGGCCTGTGAAGCCATTGAGCACATTGATCCTGAGCTTTCTCGGGTGTGGATTAAGTTCCCCTTGGCAGAGCAAAGCTTATTGCTTACGCAGGTGACGGGTGTTACTTACACAAGGGATTGTTTGTCTCATGCGGTCGGTCTGGAAGTCTCGCGCGCCTGTCCTTTGTGTGGGATGGGTGACTCTCGGCTGCATCGGGTCAAGTTCTGTGAGGCGGTCCAACACCTGAGAAGGCCTTTTTTGTCTTTCTTGAACGGCCGGTCCTTGCCGGACCACACTTGGGCCTTTGGTCTGTGGGATGAGCCCTCTGGGTTGAGGTCTTGGCAGGCTTCCATGTGCGAGATCGCCTCACCACCCGACCTTGTGTCTACGGCTGGAGATCGGCAGTTTGTCTTTTCTGATGGAAGCTGTCTGTCCCCCAGAAATCCCAGGTTGAGTGTTGCCGGTGGTGCGGTTATCCTCGCGCATCGCACCGGGCGCTATGAGGTTGTCTGGGCTGGGCTTGTTCCGGGTTTGGAACAGTCCAGTTTCAGGGCAGAGTTGCTGGCCATCACCGTTGCGTTGGCTTCCTTTGCCAGTGTCACTGTCTTTTGTGACAACTCGGAGGTGGTTAAGGTCGCTACCCGGCTCCTCAAGATGCCGTTCGAGCAACGGCAAAGTTGCTTGCCCACAGAGCATCGGGATTTGTGGCAATTTTTCTGCAGCCGTACTGCAGAGCGTTCTTGGGGTCCCTCCATTGTACGTTGGGTGAAGGCGCATCGGTGCCCTGCGTCTTTGCAAGGGGAGGAGCGCATCTTGGCGGTCTTCAACGGTTACGCTGATGTTGAGGCGAAGAAGGTCGTTGTTGCCAGGGCTCGGGTGGCAAGCTATCGGGGACTGTTTACTGAGGTGCAGGAATGTAAGGAACTTGCTGTGAAACTGGCCGACTTGCAGGTCGCCATTGCTCAGGCCTTTGTGGAAGTGGATCAGGCCCCTGTTTTGCCTCTTGACCCGGCTGGGTTCGCTGTGTGCGGGCGTGGTGGTGCTGGTTTTGAGGCTCTTGCGGCGGGCTCGCAAGTCCATGTCATGTTTGGGGACACCCTTGTGCGGTGGCTTGGGACGCTCCGGTGGTATGGCACTTGTGCGGCTGGCTGGTCCCACACCTCTGCTGTTGAGTTGTTGTGGCAGTTTGTCTTTGACACGGGGCAGTTGCCACCTTTCTGGTTCGAGGGTAAGTGGCACGTGTTGGATGAGTCGGTCTTGAATTCCTTCGTGGTGCCAAGGATGTCCAGGCTGTTCCGTGAGTGGGTTAAGGCCCTCCGTGGTGTCGTTGGGCTTGGCTTGGTGGACGCGGTTGACTCCGTTCCCTTCGCTGGGACTGGGTTGGCTGGGTGGTCGATCGAGGGTCGGATCCCTTTGGATCCGGTTGTTGTCGAGGACCTTTCCTCTTTTTCTCGTAGAAAGTGCGGCGTGCGGTCACTTAGGCTCCCGTCCTTTTGGTAGACCGTGTACAGTAGTGGATTAGCAGCTCACACAAGCTGGTCGGCTGCTTTTCCGGCACACAGACTCTGGTGCGATGTGAGAGAGTTCGTTTTTGTTCGACGGCATGCGTCGCTCCACCATTGATAAGCTCTGCCACCAGAAGTGGAGGTTCTTCAGCGACTCTAAAGATTGGTTGACATTTCGAAGTTGCGATGACAAGGCCTCAAATTCAAGAATCCCAGTGAAAAAGGATATGATGGATACCTGGATACCACAATTGGTATCCAAGCATCGTATCCCAGTGGGCTTGCAGCAGCAAGCACTGCTGTCAGGAAGAAAATTGACACTTGAAGAGCTTGTACCTTTCGGGAGAGCTCCCGACTACGCCAAGCGTAGTACTGAAGCATTGGTAAAAAACGGAAGTGGATGTAATCCTCAGCGGTCACCAGCGAGATTCCATCATCTCTTAAATAATCGTCGTCGATTGAAAAAGGATTTTGGTAAAAATCACTTCCAGCTTTGCTCCATGGGTGTCCCTCATCATCATCCAGAAAAGCTCCTTGTCGACCTCCGAAGGGAAACAGCATCCTGCAAAACCGAGAGAAGAAGGAGGAGGTTCGGCTCTCATAAGCCGCGCAAACACGGTCCCAATCATAAAGACTATCTTTGAGCTCATTTATGGCTGAAACTGGCGGTACCCTCAAATAGTCACCACGAACATCTGACCCAGTTGCATCAGAATTGATCTGTTCCAAAGCCGCTGAAAAGGTGCCTCGTCGACTTGTTCCCTTTGGGACAGCCGCCTCGGCTTTTTTCCGCTTTTTCTTGGCGGCTTCTGCGACTGCTGCGAGATCATCAGTGGGAGGACCATCACACAGCTCCTCAACCCGATCTTCAATGTCCATGTTGTTGGCTTTCCGTGGCTGATAATCCAGCACACGACAGCGGTACTGGTAGATTTCACTCTTCACATGCACCGAACCGCTTTCCAAAGCTGCCCATTTGTTCACCAGATTTAGCCGGCTGATAGAGGTCAAAACAAATGCACTGACACAGGGTAAAACCAGCAAGCTCACTTTGAGTTCTGCTTCAGGCAAGGACAAGCCTGGATCACTCCTGCTTTCACTATACAGTACAGCAACTATGGTGACCAGAACCGAAAGTGCCATTGCAGTGTAGTGGAGGAACCTGGCCCTTTGGCGAAAGAAAGCTGCATTGTAAGAGTACAACAAATGCTGTTCCCAGGCGTACCCAAGCCGATTTTCTTCACTCTTCGCAAAACCAACTTCCATCATCTCATCATCTTGAACGGTTGACAAAACTAGTGTCAGTTTGTTGATGACTTTTTCCACCGAATCCTTTGCAGGGTTGAGAATCAGGAACTGGTCGTCCGGTACATGCTCAGGCAAATCATAGGCATACTTGAAGTTCGCGTGATCTGGATGATTGGGCTGACGTCTCTTGAGCACTGACGCACCTAACATCTCAGCAGCACCGCCTGTGTTATGGAGACAAACTACTGGCACGCCTGCCATGGCCTCCATCAAGATTTTACCATCAACACCTGGTTGTATCAGAGCCTCATTCCCATTGGCAAAGATTGTGGCTCTTGTGGCCAAAGATCGCAGTTTGCTCCTCAACCTGTCAAGCGTTTGTTGATTTTGAACAAAAACTATATGAGTGAGAACATTGCAAAGAAATCGCCTGGCGATTTGAGCACGCACCTCCAACTCCAAGCCCGTAAGGCTCTTGGCACTCTTGCCTGTATCTTCGAAATCGGGATCCAAACCTGCGAGGTCCTGTTCATCAGCAATCACAGCTTTTGGATCAGTTCCAAGCTCCGGAAATAACTTGTCATTCACCGACGGGTACATGACCCGCTCCTGCAGGGGCCCTTGCTTCTCACGTGCCGTGGGCACAGGCTGTGCACACTTATCAAAGTGGTCCTTGAACTCAGTATCCTGCAAGAGACGAGCACAAAACACCACCGCGTCGGTCTTGTGACCTGCCAAGCAGCCAAAAGCCGACCAATAAACTTTCAAACCATCCATCAAGACTTCGTTCAAGCCTCCTCTCGGCCCGTATCCCAGATCAAACCATCCGCCGCACTCAGTGACAGCTTGGCAGACACCTGCTGAAATCTCGGACAATCGACTGGTGAACTTCTTTCTAAATTGCCAGTCGTCCATCTGAGGCCGAATTGAACTATCACGTGCTCCAATAGGCTTGGGCCGAGCACGCACCGCAGCAGAAACTCTTCCCCCTCTTCGAAAGGGCTTTGCCGGCTGATTCTCGGCTGCAGGTGAGCCAGGGGCAACTGCCCATGCATCTCGATTTCGGAGGGTTGGTGACTGAGCCCAGTTCACATAATGATCTCTTCCGCCATAGCAAGACAGCAAGAGATTTGGAGGCTTCAATCTCCACCCTTCCTGTCGAACAAACATCCACCGCAGGATTTCATCCGCATTTTCCATCTCTGGAGGTGCAATGATATAGTGAGCTCGGTGGCCACCAGTTCCCAGGCCCGAGAACTCCACCTCCCCCTGCCGAAGGTGGCCTGAAGGCTCCTGGTTGATGTTGGCCGTGGGGCACGACAGCTGCATCTCTTTGATCTGCTGCTGCGCCACATCCCTGGCGATCCTCTGCAGGGCGCCACCAAAACTGGAGGCAGCCCTGGAGATCTTCTGGGGATCGATTTCCTCCAAGACCTGCAACTTGGAAGTGCTCAGGGTGTCAAACTCCGGCATCTCAGGCTCTACAACACTCACAGATTTTATTCTGCCAACTTGGTCTTCCTTGGGATCTTTGGGCTTCACTGCCTTTGGCGCCTTTGGAAGCTTCGGTTTCTCTGTTGCCTTTCCTGTCTTGCCTTTCAGTTTTGGCATGGCGTTCTTTTTGACGGCATCCAAGGAATCTTCATCCTGGTCATAGCCCTGCGGGGATTTCTTGGCCTCATCCGTCGAATCTTCGTCTGGGTCAAAACCTTCTCCATCATTGGAATTCTTGATGCTTCGCATGGGCGTGGAACCGCTTGTGGACTCTCTCACAGATTCTGAAAAAAACAGTGGGAAACAGTGAACAATTATCAGTGAATTTAACTTGTACTGTATAACTTGTGGAAAACAATCACAGCACATTTCTGGTATTGTTTTGCTTCGCCACGTTGGGCACTGGCAATACGCCTCTACGCATTCTGGGAAACATGCGGGCATAGATTTGACGAATTGGGATGAAACCTATTGAAACCTGAGAAATGATTGTTTTCGGCCTTGGTGGAGCATCAGCAGCTGCAACAAACAGCAAGAACCAATCATCAGCAACAAACGGCAATGCTGAAGGGCCACCAAGTCACCATTGTGGCTAAGATTGGCTAAACACCCAATTGATCCCACTTGCATCCCACCTCAGCACCATCATCCAGCAGCAGTGAGGGAGATCGGGTCTCGCGCTTCACTCCTGTGCGATGAAAGAAAACGAGATGATTCAGGATTCAGACACTTTGGCCATTCATCTTGTTGAAAGAACGCAGCAACACTAAGGACATGGTACGACGCACACATTCTCAGTGCCTCGCAATTGAGGAGATCTAGAATTCATTTCACGCAAAATCAGCAGGACATCCTGCCCAAGCTGCATCGGATGGTGCGATAGGATGGCTTTCATCGGGTTCGGATTTCCAGTGTCCAAAATAAAGATCAGGCTGCAAATAAAATCAATCGTGGTGGCAGTGGTGGCTCAAAATCTTCACAAAAAGTGCAAAATAGTAAGGGTCTGGGCCTCACGTGCGCACGCGTTTTTTGGCTCACGTGCGCACGCGCAAGGAGGCCTCACCTGAGCACGCGTTTGCGCACGCGCAAGACGCGTTGTTAGTCTCACGCGCGCACGCGCACGAGTTTGTGGGGTGGGGTCGTTTGCTTCCCCCCCCTGCGTTCCACTAAACCACTCCACTAAACCATTGTCTCCATTCTACTTCTTTATTTAAACTTCCCCCCCCCTGCGTTCCACTAAACCATTGTCACCATTCTACTTCTTATTTAATAAAAAAACAACTTACCCCCCCCTGCGTTCCACTAAACCATTTTCTCCATTCTACTTCTTTATTTAAACTTCCCCCCCCTGCGTTCCACGAAACCATTTTCTCCATTCTACTTCTTTATTTAAACTTACCCCCCCCTGCGTTCCACTAAACCATTTTCTCCATTCTACTTCTTTATTTAAACTTAACCCCCCCTGCGTTCCACGAAACCATTTTCTCCATTCTACTTCTTTATTTAAACTTACCCCCCCCTGCGTTCCACGAAACCATTGTCACCATTATACTTCTTTATTTAAACTCACCCCCCCCTGCGTTCCACTAAACCATGGTCACCATTGTACTTCTTTATTTAAACTTCCC